GCTCTGTGAGTGGCTTCTACCCAGGCCACATGGAAGTCAGGTGGTTCCGGAACGGCCAGGAGCAGGAGGACGGGGTGGTGTCCACAGGCCTGATCCGGAACGGGGACTGGACCTTCCAGACCCTGGTCATGCTGGAAACAGTTCCTCGGAGCGGAGAGGTTTACGTCTGCCGGGTGGAGCACCCGAGCTGGAGCAGCCCCGTCGCCGTGGAGTGGAGTGAGTGGGAAGCCGGACCTTCTGAGCTCCTGTCCTGCACACAGGGGCTCTTCCCTTATCCCCGAGGGTCAGCCTGCCCTTCCCTTACAGAAATATGCTCTGATCTCCAGTGGGACAACTCCTAGGGGTGGAACCGGGAGAGTTTCTATAAACACTTGCGCACCTTCAGCAGGCAGGATGCCTGTCCCACGGAAGAGAAGTGTCCCTGCTTTGCACCTTTTCACGCCGTCACTGGTCATGGTCACCCCACGGCCCTGACCCCACACCTTTCCCCTGGGCTGGGTCTGTGTTTCAGCTGCTGCTGCTCTGGGCTGTTCACTGTGATCTGGAGGAGGAGCAGTGCTGGGTCTTCCTGGCAGGAGAGGAGTGGCCCTCAGCTTTGCCTCTCATCAGCTCTGTCATCCTAGAGGGCTGCTCAGCTCACTGAGCTCCAGACCCTGCTCACATCTGGATTATTGGGGGGGGCAGTGAGATTTAGGAGAATTCAGGGCATGAGCCTCACACCTACTCTATTTGCAATTTTAAAATCTTTCTTCCCAGGAATGGCCACATCTAGCTTTAAGTGAAGGAATCAGTCTTCTAGTCTTCAAATTCTGAGTCTTGGGGGTCTCAAGAGGGTTCTGGGATTCTGGGTTAAAATAATTCCCAAACTTTGCACCTTCTCTCAGGGGCACAGTCTGGATCTGCACGGAGCAAGATGCTGAGTGGAGTCGGGGGCTTTGTGCTGGGTCTGCTCTTCCTGGGGGCGGGGCTGTTCATCTACTGCAGGAATCAGAAAGGTAAGAAGCCTACTGGTGCCTCAGCCTCTCTGTACTCTTTCTCAGGGGGCACAGACTGTTTTGCTGTGAAGGATTCATGGTAGTTTGGTGTTTCTTCAGGAAGCCTTTCTTACCTCAGGTTACCTTACATTTCCTGAGAGTTTAGAAAGGAATTGTTCATGGATCTTTGTTGAAACTCAGGGGCTGTGCCCTGCAGAGACAGGGACAGGTGGAGTAGCCTGGAAATCCTGGGAGGAGAGCTGAGGGTGAATAAGGAAGGGCACTGAACGGGGGATTTACGGGGCAGATGCCTCCTCAGTCACATTCTCTTGGTTTGTGCTCCTTTCTGCACCTGGGCAGCCGAGGTCATGGTGTCAGAGAAGTCTGAGGTGACAGATCTGACACTGGGTATGCTGAGTGTGGTGAGAGTTTTGCTTTTGTGACTTTTACTTACGTCTCTATTTCCTGTCTCTTTTCTAGGACACTCTGGAGTTCAACCAACAGGTAAGGTCCAGTGTCCTTGAATCTTATCTCAGAGACAGATGTGCTCTTCCTATAAGGGACAGAAAAAAGATGAACAGGAAACAAGTACATTTGCCTCTTGATTTAAGACCAGCGTGGCATGACTGATGGCCTGGGTTATGACCAAAATTTAGTTTGAACTTAGGAACAAAGTCTTGAGTTGTGACCTGAATGCCAGCTGTGGTGATTCCAGGTGGCCTAGATTCAGATTTACCCTGTAAAGAGTTCTGGACGGAACATGACATCATCCTTCCCTGTGTGGGTTTAGTTGAGAAATCCTGGCCCATGTCTCTCTAAGGACACTGAGTCTGCCTGTACACAGGGGAGACTGTGACATCTGAGTAGAGGAGCCCTGGCCTTCAGTTGACCAACTTGAGTCACAACAGCTCTTGCAAAGATATTGAGTTCAGAAGTCACGGGTTTAGTGTAATGTGAAAGATTTTAGAAATAAGGCTCTGGCCAGGCAGCTGCACTAAACCTTCTTCGTTCCACTTAATAAAACCCTGCGCTCTGAGGTAGCAGCGGTTCAGGGAGACGTAAGAGATTTTTCTTCTCTCACTGCAATGCTGTCCTGAGAGGGGAGAGGAGCTGCATTCAGAGTCAGCTCAGGAATCACTGCTGTCCTCTGTCCCTCAGGACTCCTGAGCTAAGGGAGGTGACAGCACTGCAGGAGGACCGTGTCCCTGCTTCTCCACGTCTCCTCCACGTCCCGACCAGATCCCCGCTCGGCTCTCGTTCTCCCACAGACAGAGGCCCAGGGCGCACAGGACTCTTCCTCCCTGAGGCCTTCTCTGGCCCTGGGCCACCCCGAAGCTCCAGCACTGACTGCAGCCTCCCTTCTTCTCTGTGGCCCCTCTGTGCTCACCGTTTACCTCCTCCACCTGCCGAACTTCCCTTAGGAGACGTTGCTTTGCCACTTTCTTTTCCTCAAATAAACATAGAGTGAAAAATCGTGTACTTCCTAACCTTGTCAGGAGAAACGTAGAGAATCAGACAAGAGGATAGCATCACCTGCACCATTGGGTGTCATTTATGTATAAGAAGTGTGTGAGAGAATCCCTATGGTAAATGGGTTGGCTCAGCAGTTCCCAAAGTCTACGGAGAAAAATATCAAGCTGTGCTGAATAAATATATACAATTTTTACTTTTCCTTTAAAATATATTTTAAAATAATATAGCAATTTAAAACCCAATGCCTCCAATGCAAAGTAGGCCTATAACAAGGAACACAAACGTGATCACAATTATTATCTAGGAAAGAGCAGCAAACATCCGAGCCCTGGCTCAGAACCTTGTGTCAGGTATTTGCCCATCAGCCCTTGGTTCTGCACACGCACCCTTCAGAATGGCCTTGTGCAAAACATATTCCAGGAGGCTGCATGTCAGGGACAGCACTTGTCCTGCTTGAGAAGGAGTTTGTTTCCTGTTCTCCTGGAACAAAGAGTTTAAAGCGCAAGTCAGTTCAAAAGCAAATATTTCAGAAGTATCCTTCAGAGTGACTACTGCGTGAACGCCTCTTAGACCTTATCGTACACAGTTCTGTTTTTCTGTAGGTTGAGACTCCATTATTCCGTGTATTTAACTCTCCCTTATGAGTCGTTCATACCATGCTGATCTTCCTGTGTGAAGTGCGTGTGCCGACTGTGCTGTCCTTCCTGTTACACTGCGGTTAACAACTGCAGGGGGACTGTGTTTCCTCAAGGAAGAAATGGTTCATCCCAATGTATGTGTGAACTGTGGTACGAGAGTGTAACGTGCATTAAAGTGTACGAAGAAGATTTCAGTCAAGATGCTTTATGGTCTGCAGAACTGGAAATCTGGTCCGTTTGTCCTGATTTTCATTACCTTTCTGTGGCAGGAGGATAGCAGATCCCCTGGGTGTCTCCAGGGCTGCTGACTCCTGCAGGTGGGGGCGCCTGTGATGGCCCTGTGATTTCACACCTCAGCCTTGTCATCCACGGCTGTTCCCAGCCCTCAGATGGCAGAAGGACACCTGTGGCACCTTTAGGGTTCATGTTCTCTTAAAAACGCATATAATGTCCAGCAGGGGAAAGTCTGTTTTCTGGGGTTCCTTTTTCCATAACCTGGAAACATCCTTAGTTCCCAGCCAAGCCAGTTACTGATCCCTGGGAGGGACCAGGGCTCAAGGTGACAGCTCTGACAAACCTTCCTTCAGACTTTGAGGCTGGGCCTGATGCCATGCAACAGAAGGATTAAAATCATGTGTTTTTTGAAAGAAAGAAATGATTAAAAGAATAATTTGGGGTAAGGAAGTGATAGTTTCGATGCAATTATTTCATTAGTCTCATTATTTCGTTAGTATTTTTAGGCAATCTCTTCATGCAGGCCACTAGATTCTTGATAAGAATCCTGAATTTTTTTGTGTCTTTTCCAAAAGATGTGCTCAGTGTAAAGTTCCAGTCATTAACTCAACCACAGTGAAAAAAAAGCAATGCCAAAATGTTGTTTGTTTCTGGAAGTGAATAGGTTGACACACAATTTTGTAAGTAAAATGCATTTACCAAGAAGTTTTTTCAAAAAGTCCATAGCAATGTGTCGCGAGCCGGTGACGCAGAGCACTGTCCAGCAGTGCCTCAAACCTGAAAGAGCAGCGGGGTGGAGATGGGGCAGAGAGAAAGGAAGGCCGCCAAGACAACAGTCTGATCAAGGCGACGTTTATTGCCAGCAAGCATCAGCCTTTTAAAGCAAAAAAACCCACAAACTATTATGGGATGGGTTTACCATAGTAACTGAAAGGTCACACAGGAAAAGAGCAAACAGGTTCACCAAAACAACCCACCGTGAGTAGTAGTAAACCGGACAACCACACATCTAAAGGTCAGAGACAAGAAACTGTAACTTTCAGGAATTCCACAAAGGAAACACTCTACCTGCTCAACTGGAGAAACAACACATATGGAGTTACTAGAGTTAACAGTACTTACAACCAATACTCATGATCCCCACAATTCCTCCCTTTTTGTTTTAAAACTTTGGTTCCATAGCAAGAAGAAGCTTAAGAGAAAGTAAAGGCATGTCCGAGCCTGTCTTAGGTTGGGAAAAGCATTTGGCTGTCTTACCCGTCATTGGGGTCATCTGTCTTACAGGCCTATAACATGATGAAGATTTAACAGAAGCCCCTGTCTTAGGTTGATCAGTCAAACCTTTTCCTCTTACCCGTCTTTGACTTTCCGGACCCTCATTGAAGCTCTTTTTATCTGAGCGAGGTAAATGCCCAAATTTTCGGAGGACCCTTCCTTAAAGTCCATGAGCGCATGTAATGTTTTGTGCTGTATATAAACCTCATTTGAGATAACACAGTACTTATGATATTTCACATATTAGAGGCCCCATGCCAAAAACATTCAAACTAAGGCTAGTAACTTTGACATCTGACAATAAGCGTATTTCTCCCAATGCAGCAGCAGGTTTCCAAATGTTGGTTTGAGGAAAACGTGAATCTGCTCACCAAAGTCCTACAGACAAGCTTAAGTCCATGGAATATTCGAGTGACCAGTCCAAAAACCCTTGAGATGTCTTATTAATTCACCAGTCCCATTAAATCCTTGTTCTGGACAATAAAGTCTCTGCTGGTGCACCAAGACACATCCTAGAGTTCTCTCTGCTGCTCCAGTTGTTGGGGTCCCAATCCAGTCTCCTCAGTGGAACCCCAGCATCAAGCTGTTCAGGGATAGTGGTAGGTCTATAAACATATCTGTAACCAAAGTAGGTGGAGCAGAAGAGAAGGGAGAATACCTGGACCAAAAGGTCACCATCACAAACAGTATGCTGGAAAACCTGCATGGTCAAACAATATAAATACATCCTGTATACCAGACATGAATTCTTATGTCCTTAAATGTAGCTTTGTATCAACAGGATCTCCCCCCCCCTTTTTTTTTTACAGAAAATAGTATATTGTGAAGATAACCATCAGAAACATGTTACAATAACATATTTACAATTCAGACCTTTGATGATAACCAATATAGACATTTTTAACAACATATTTAACAAGGCATATCTTTTTATAAGGCTATGAAAATTATTTTGGTAGCTTCCATTAGTGAACAAAGATCAGAATAAATTTTCTGAGCAGCTGCTTCTTTATTCACCAACAGGAGCGTATCCAAACTTAAAGGTTGTATTTAATTATCTTTTAAGTTTTTTATTTGATCCTATAAAGCCAGGTTGTAGAAATCAACAATCCACTTGCATTTGACGTCATTCTGATCAAAAACATACAAACATCTTTAAACATTTAAGACAGACAAACATATAACACTTAAGACAGACAAACATATAAGACAATTTTAACGAGTGCACTCAGATGGTTTTGGCCAATTGAATTATAAAATCTTTTTGTTATGACTAGTCAAAATTTTTGCAGATCAAAATTAACAGAGATCTCTTGTAGAATTAGGGTTAAAGGAATGAATACTCTTCTTGACTATAAATGTAAACCTTTTATAACAAACTTGAAACCAACAAGCAAACATTTTATAAATCATTTCCATAAACATTCTCTACATTCTTAGGTAAAGACAAGAGGAACATACAAAAACCTTTCATGTTAAAAGTACAACTCTTACTTATAGCTTTCCTAATATTTTTCTATCTCATTTACTATCAGCCTTCTGTAACAAACTACTATTTTGTTCTTTATTTTGGTCTATAGTCAGTTTAGAACATACCCTCGCTTGGAGTGTGTGTGGGGAGGGACAGGCTGGTCAACAGATACAAAGTCAAAGTCACAGCCAGATGGGAAGAATAAGTTCTGGCATTCTATCACACTGATTATTATAGTCAACAATACTGAAGAGTACTTCAACATGGCTACAAGACAGGATTCTGAATGTTCTCATCACTAAGAAATGATAAACATTTGAAATGATAGATAACCTAAGCATCCTGAGTTGATCATTTCACAATATGTAAATGTAATAAAATACTACACTGTATCACATAATGATACACAAGATTATCTCAATAAAATAATTTAAAAGAAATCCTACAAATCCATACAATTTGTGTGTCAAAAGCTATTATACCATACATAAGAAGTTACACTAGTATACACATACTGAAACTAGCAGGCTTATACAAAATAATCTTAGAAACAATCAAAATAGTTAAGAGTAGCTATAGTAACTAAACAGATATAAATAATGACCTTACCTTATCTACTAAAACAATTAGGTTTCTATCTCCAACACTTGAACGTCCTTGCATATTACCTCAAAATGTTAATTCCTTCTCTAACC